TATAAATGCCGCGTTTGATACTTTGTATCAGACGTTTCATAACACGGTGAAGGCGGTGTAGGGTCTTTGCGCAAGGCATGACGGGTGTAACTGACAAGTAGCTATATTTAGTAGTGTCTTGAGCACAATTGTAGTATCGGTGTTGATGGTATTTAGTTTTTGCCCAGCACGTGCCATGTTAACTTTTTTAGACAAGTCGTCAGATTCTCGCAACGAGTTTCACGTTGAAAGTTGATGAAAGTTGATGTNCTTGCTATCTGGGGTATCTCTGTCACTTCTAGAAACCTTTACTTCTGGTATCTGTTGAGACATGAAAGCAGGTGTGACCAGACAGTGGCAAAAAAGTCAATGAAAATCATGTCTGATAAGGTGGAAAGTAGACTGAAACTTTAAAAAAGCTCCGCGACCACAAAGTCTTTCAACTTAAATGAGGACAAAATAAAGTGGTGACACACCACAAATTCTGACTCAGAATGAAATATTGACTCAGAATAATGTTGTAGTGCCTGGGGGTCAAGTGTGAATGGAACAATAAGTGCAGCATTAAAGTAAATAGCTGGGTCACTGAAGAACATGTAAGAGAATTTCTAGACTTCAAAAGCAAAGTCTGTTATGAATATCCTTCTCATAATTATAATGATGAGGCATTTCAATGAATTGTGAAACTCATCGGTCAGACCACATGGTCGATATGGCAGACGCTCCCCACAATGAAGATGCCAAAATACTGGAGGAAACTACAGAAAAAAACTTATTCAAGAAAAGAAAATAGTTTGGAAAAATGATAGACACAGCTCAACACTGTGAGCCTTAAGAGCCTGAAATTAAAAAAAGCTTAGCCAACAATTTAGATGCGTTTACGAGGTTTAAACCTCAAGGAGAAAGTAAAATGCTCTTTAAAGATATTTTGCCTCCTTCCCACTGGCCAATTCCGCCCTGCAGGAGAACAAGCAGTTGAGTACACACCCTCATCAACCACTCAAGGATGGCCTCTCGGGTTAACAGGCCAGCAAAACGAAGTTAGGCTAACATTCCCTTCTACCCCTTGAGATCATCTTGTTCCAAAAAACTTGAGGCAGAAGATATAATAATAATAAGTTTATTGAGCACTAAATGATGTGAATACATTTGCAGGCTCTCTAGACTACAATATTTACACAATATATATGGATATACAATTATATATGTTTACATATGTAGTATGTTAAATTATACATGTGTTAATGCAATTTATGCTATAATATTAATTAATTAAGCTATTCACAGCATTACTGACAGTAAGTGGCTGTGATATACTAGATTTCAGGTGAACTATGTATTTTAACAGCAGTCTTTACAAATTCTGCTATTACTTTGAGACTTTTATGACAGGGTGGATTAAGGAGAATAAGGAGATATGGGACAATGAATATGTATCATTCAGACCTCCTACCTCATACGTCATTGCCAAAGTGAGGAAAAGATTGCCAAAGTAGATGTAAATGCCACCATAGAAGATGAACAATTTGTTCAACGTAAACAATCAGACACAGAAGGCAATCTGAACTCAAGTAGCTGAAAGCAGCAGTTCAAAAAATAATAAAAATTGTGTGGTCACAAGTGTATGTGGTGAAAGTGCCTGTCACTCTAGAATTCCATTTTACTAGGTTAACGCTATTATACATGTAATTACATCATTATTACAATAATTTATTATCAGTAAAAGTACTGGTAAGTATTATTGTGTAGTATTAGCGTATAGTTTAGGCATTTTTTGCTATTTGAATCCCATTTCGCTGACAAGTCTTTGTTTCAAAAGTGAACACATTTAACAAAATGGCAGATCACGTGGGTAAGTTCTACATCAATTTTATCACTGATGAGCAACAACAGCATATACCTGATATAACAACAGGGCAGGCTTTATTTGTTAAGAGCTCAAAAGGGCAACTTAACAAGAGAAATGATGCTAGAGTGGTTAGAGGGAAGAATATCCCCAGTTGCTTTAAGTGTTTTAGACTTTTTAACCAACCCTAACCCACCTGGGTCACAAGATGAGGGGTCAAGGTCAACATGGATGCCAAATTTATGAGGAGGGTGGATGTGGCAATCAGCTAAAAAATTATTTACTTCAAATAAAAGAAAAGTGCCTCCTACTACACAGATGCCTAGTATGCCTGCACAGACTGAGGACAGTGAAAGGACTTTCCTCAAAACCATACCTATGGGCACCAATGTTTCAACTTCTCATCCATGCAATAACCCTAGATTCACTGATGTGCCAGGACCAAGTGGTTTATTTCCTAGCAATGCCAGCACACCCTTTTTTCCGTCAAACCCTGGGGATGATAGACAGGAGATTTCCATGGAAGTGGACAATGCCAGTGAGGTACCTTGGGTCAAAGGGCCCCCTTAGCCTGCGTTTCGCCACGACGTAAGGTTTACCCACCTAAAAATCTTACATTTAACGGTAAAGGTAGTTGGGCAGCATTTAAGCTTGTATTTTTGCATCATGCTGAGAGAGAACATTAGGACGATAACATGTCATTGGATGGGTTATGTTTATGCCTTATAGGTAAGGCTCAGGAATGCTGCGTTAATGTCACTAAACGTGAAGGCACATTGACATATCAAAGCCTAGTGGAAGAATTAGAAATGTGTTACAGAGAAACAGATACTTCAGCAACAGTATGCTCTCAGCTGCATAATGCGAAACAGACTGAGACGGAGTCTGTTGATGAATGGGGAGTACGTGTTCTAAGGCTCGCATCTCAAAACTACCCTAGTCTACCTAAGTCGTTTGTAGATTTGGAAGTAGTAAATAGATTTTGTGCAGGAATGTTGAACCCGGAAGTGGAGCAAGTTATTTATATGCAGCGTCCTTCTACATTGTATGAAGCTATGCAATTGGCAAAAATGCATCCCGAGTTCAGCGTTTGAAATTAACAGTAGCAAGAGGCAGTTTTGCCTCCTAGTTTAACCAAGTTGCCCCCTGGTCTGAAAGCCGGTGGCAAAAAGTTGCCTCCAAGAAATTTTGGAGACTGAAAATAAAGTTATTAAAAGTTTACCAGCGATCGATGTTTTACTTGCCTCCCACTTGTTTACTCCATGAAATGTTGGTTTTCCGAAGTTCTAAACATAGTTGTGTGACCTATATAATCGCAACTGTTTGAGGCTCGTGTGCACTACGAATATGCAAATGATTATTACATCCCGCGGCAAATTGAACTATTCTAATTGGGCGTGGCATTTGCCGATTGGTTCCGAAGGTTTGCGCAGTCGCAGTGCACAGCTTCTCATTTCCGCCCAAAGCAAATCATGGACATCCGGAATTTTTTATCTTTGCCGAAGGGTAAAAATCCATCGGCTGCTACATGTAATCCGAGCGAGAGCACTTCCACTGAGCAAGGTAAAAATGTGACATTTGTTTCATACAAATTGCAGCTAAATCTACGTTCCGTACATGCAGAAAACAGTCAAAGTATATTTATTGAGGATTTATCCTCGTGCTTCATTTACTCTGCCTTTCCTGGCGCTCGCAGTGCATGACTAGAGCAAGTGCATAAATATGCAGCAATACAGTATTCCTGCACTGCTTGATCAATTTGTCAATTTACTAAAGTCCATTTTGAAGTTATATTGTATCAGTGCTATAGATCTATGAGTTTTGAAATAGTGACTTTTCATATCTCAATGAAACCACATGTTGTGGCCACTTTTTGGAATCGTCTAACTGAGACAATTCTAAAAGGTGATTCTAAATATATCATTATAATATAGTCTAGATCTGTTCTGAAATAAAAGAGTTATTTTGAAAAATATCTTGTATTCTCATTGGAGGACTGATATAGATCTATAGATCTACCCAAATTCTATCAGATTTTTAAAACTTTCGCTCGGTTGCAGATGAAAACCCATTGGCAGACAAAGCTGGGGCTGCTGAGCCAAATTCAAAAAAGGCAAAAACACTGAAAACTCCTGTCAATATGGCTGTTCGACCAAGTACAGTTCAGAAATGGAAAACTGAATTCAAAGAAAATGGCTAATATATCGATTTTGAAACTAGGGAGGTGTGCGAAAAAGATTCCAAAGGCGCTATTTTTCAAAAATCTGGTGCTCTGTATGTAAACAGTTTAGTAAGGATAAGACAGTCCCATTTGCTGTTGGTACAAGTAACATAAAGAAGTGTCTACTCAAAAAACATTTTCAAAGTACATTCCACCAAGATTCTGTTGAAGCAAAGTTGGCAAGACACCGTGTTGAAACAAATCATCCAACTGACATTTTGAAAGGGTTACAGAATATGGAAAAGTCTGTGGAGGAAAAGATGGTGAAACTTTTCAAGACTGCGTTCTATGTTGCATTCTATGAAAAACCTTTTGTTGAATTTCCTAGATGCTTAGACCTCCTTGAGTGGAATGGTGTAAGTATTGGTGACTCTTACAGAAATGACAAACAGTGTAAGGTATTCATTGATGTTATTGGTAGCATCTATCATGATGAATTAAAACACGTGTTAAAGGATGCAGACTTCTTCTCGGTACTCTGTGACTCTAGTACAGACAGGAGTGAGGTTGAGAAAAAAATAGTGTATGTAAGAATTGTGAAAAATGGTCTGCCAACATTCTTATATATGAAACTAGTAGATGTAAAAAGTGGTAAAGCAGATGGGATTGTTCAAGCTATAGACAAGGCTTTTGCAGACTTTGACATGGATGGTGCTGAGTGGCGAGCTAAAATGATTGGATTCGGCAGTGATGGTGCAAGCGTAATGACGGGAAAGACAAATGGTGTTGCAGTAATTTTACAATGGGATGTCCCATGGCTAGTCCAAATCCATTGTCTTGCACACAGACTAGAGCTTGCAATAAAGGACTGTTTAAAAGACACATACATGGACGAAATTGTCAACATTCTGGTTTCTGTTTATTTCTACAAGGGTTCTCCCAAAAGGCTACGAGTATTAGAAAGTATTGCTGACATTATGGATGAGCAGTTCTTAAAGCCTGAACGAGCAAATGGGACAAGGTAGGTTGAGCATAAACAGAAAGCCTTAGCAAAGTTGGAAAAAACCTGGAGATCTATTGTTGTTCACCCAGAAAGCTATGCTTCTGACAAGACAAATCGAGCAGAAGACAGGACAAAAGCCAGAGGAATCAACAACAGATTGCTTCGATACAAAGTGGTCCTCTACATGCATTTTCTCCTCGACGTGTTTGACCAGATGGCCCAGTTGTCCCTTTTATTTCAAAGAGATGACATAACTGTTCCTAGTGTGGTTCTGAAGTGTGAGCATGTTCAGCTTATGTTGACATCCCTCCTGACAGTTAATGGATCTTAACTTGAGGTTTTCTATCAACATGTAAATGGTGCTGTGTTCAAAGGTCAAACTCTTAAAAATGTAATCCAGCCAGACAGAGAGATTATCATCAACTCACTACTGCAAATAATGGACAGAAAGTTTGGAAACATTCTTGGTGGGACTGATATTTTTAAAGCAGCTCACATCTTTGATCCAAGAAACTGGCCAGACAATTGCAATGATCTGCCTGCTTTTGGGCGAGAAGATCTTCAGACACTGCTCAGACATTTTGAACAAGTGCTGGCCAATACAAACCCTCCAGTTAATGCGAATGATGTAAACCTCCAGTGGGAAGAACTTAAAACTTTTGTTCAGAGTAATGCGAACTTTAAGAGCCTCCACCCTAATTCCCTATGGGAAAGATTCTATTTAACAGATCAGGAGAGGGACGAGTTTGCTTCAATTTTGAAGGTGATCTTCTTGGTAGAGACTTACCCACTGTCAACTGCATGCTGTGAGAGGGGGTTTTCTACCATGAATAGGATTAAGAACGACTGGCGTTGCAATCTGGCAACCCCAACTTTGGACACATTAATGAGAGTAAAAATAAGCTCTGAGACAATATGACCCTCTACCTGCAGTTAACAGGTGGTGGTTGACTGGAGAGAGGGCAAGGAGGCCAACTATCTTGCCTCATGGGCCTCACACAGACCAGTAGTGATCCTTCACGATGCTAGGGCAGGTGGATGAGGCTGAACTATTATCTGTAAGAATTTACCTCTAGGTAAGTCCAAGTTGCCTCCAACTTTCAGATCAGGGAGCAAGTAGTTGCCTCCTAGCAAAAAAGTTAATTTCGAACACTGGAGTTAAAGGTAACTATGGAAACTAAAAAAGGGCATACTGGGACCAAAAGGGTCACGTTGCAACATAGCTGTCTAAAGAGACAGATACTTCTAAAATTGAAGATTTTAGGGGTGAAATAAGGAGCATGCAGAAGGCATTAAAAGAAATACAACAGCAGATGGCTCAAAGATCAACTAATTTTCTCCACACAGCATGCCCTTTTGTATATTTACTGACATAAGCTGGCAGGGCTTTTACCTCTGCTCAGGGAGTCTCACATACTAACTAAACTTCATTTGCAGGTAATGGACCAACCACCAGGAATCCCTCCCCTGGCACAGAGGGAGTACTTGGGCTACCCCTAGATAACGCACTTTACACGATGCAAAACGCAGAAGGCCACGACACCCTCGTCACTCAAGTCACAGTCTCAGAAACACCACCAGAGAGCACAGGAACACTCAACACTTCCACAGCTGGCGCCAATATCGCACAGGCCCACAAAACTCTAGGCATGCAATCCACAGTTGCGGGAAGTGACACATTTATTAGAGGCCCTCAGCTAACATATGTGATGGGAAACTCGGGGTCCCTCCACATCTGCCACACCACAGCAGCCAGCCATTTTTTATGGCTAACCCGCCGGATTGCTGCCAACTCCCACAACAGGTGAGTCTATGACTACTCATATTGATAGCCACTTAAGTCAGTCCATCTGCCGAAAAAATTGGTACAATGAATATGTCCTTCAAAGATCTCATTACCAAAAATTCAAACAACTTTAGTCTCCATGACTCTTCAATGGATGAGCAGTTTATACATAAACGTAAACAGGATGCTAGCTGATGGTAATCTCCATATGATTCTAGAACCAGTCCAGAAAAAAAGTGTCCCTATCACCTTCCTACAGTGGCAGGCAGCTTTCATCATCTTTTCAGCGATATATTTACAAAAGCATCCCCAACAGGCTGTCCCACTGACCCAATACAACAATAGAATTCTAGAGATGTATGCCAATAACACCTCAAATTGGCAAACCTAGATGAGCACTTTCGCTCCAACTACAAATCACTAGCCTACAGCTGGGACAAACCAGACCCAGTTCTCTTGGCGGATATCAGTTTTATCCAATGTCCCACAGGGGAACAGCCCTTTCGTTCACAGAGAAAGACATGCTTTCGCTGGAACAATGGATGATACTGTGACACAGTATACTCTATCATCAGGATTCCCAGGATTTTTTCTTCAATGGCCTGAAATTTGTCAATTCCTGGCGATTCATGGGATTTGTGGTCTGTGTGAAATAGGGGCATTAGCAGTTTCTTCTGCTGACTGGAACTGAGAACTCTGACAGATTATGAACATTATAGTAAAATTACTAGTGGAGTAAATGTCAACACAATTGACAGATTGTTAGGGGCCACTAAATTTGACAGTGTCAGACTATCAGAAGAATGTTTCCTTGCTTTTCCTTGACTTATAATTTATCTGTATAGCCCTTGTGTGCTATAATTTCTATGAAGATTAAAAAAGGGCTCAATTCAGTTTTTAAATGTGCACCATGTCATGGAGCTCTTTCCAGAGTTAATTAACACTTGGACTTGGTTCAAGAATAAGAAATCTTTTCCTTGGTATACAAAAGCTCTTAGAGTTATGTCAGTTGGTTGACACCAACGCCATGCCATGCTTCTTTTGTGATATTTGAATGATCAAAAATGTAGTTGCTATTCCAAACTGCAATTTGAAATGATTATATTATATTATGCTGGTGCTCATTATATGGAAAGGAAAATAAATTTGCTTATTTAACAAGTTTTCCAGCGCCAAGTGGAAGTTTACTGTCATTATTTTCAAAAATGAAAATATAATACTCCAAGTATCCTGCCTAATTTTGTGCTTTGTGTTTTTCACTACAAAAATAACTATTGCTATTGTTCCTTATTTTGTACAGAGCTGACCTCAAAAATTTTTTATTTCATATGAAAGATTTTATAAACGAACCCAATGACAGTTTCGCAACCTGCTGTTTGTCATTTACCTGTATTAAAATAGTAACTTGAAGGTATACTTGTTTCTTGCATCTCATGCTGAGTTTATTTATTCATTAATTCAATTTGTTTACAAATAGTTAATTCATAAATCCCATTTCGTTGAAATTCACATATATTAATCAAAAAGCGTGTTATACTAAAATAAGACTTTATTCATAACTTCAATATTTCTTCAGCTACATTTTCAAGAAACACCCACACACTTATGAAGAAAAAAAAAATTAATTAACACAAGTACAATTTTGTGCAACTTGCTGTTTGTCTTACTTGTATTAAAATTGTAATTATATCAATTAGAGCCTGTAGTACCAAAATTATTCTGTTCACAACTTCAATATCTCTTTCAAGTGCATTATTTAAATGGATTACAAACTTCACTTTTTCTGTCAAAAAAAAAAAAAAAAAAAAAAATTAATCTCAATGAAGCTCTTAAACTCTTTTCACCTTTGCATGATACTCTTTTTTCANAGAAAGCCTTAGCAAAGTTGGAAAAAACCTGGAGATCTATTGTTGTTCACCTAGAAAGCTATGCTTCTGACATGACAAATCGAGCAGAAGACAGGGCAAAAGCCAGAGGAATCAACAACAGATTGCTTCAATACAAAGTGGTCCTCTACATGCATTTTCTCCTCGATGTGTTTGACCAGATGTCCCAGTTGTCCCTTTTATTTCAAAGAGATGACATAACAGTTCCTAGTGTGGTTCTGAAGTGTGAGCATGTTCAGCTTATGTTGACATCCCTCCTGACTGTGAATGGATCCTACCTTGAGTCTTTCTATCAACATGTAAATGGCGCTGTGTTCAAAGGTCAAACTCTTAGAAATGTAATCCAGCCAGAAGTGTTTGAGACAGACAGAGAGATTATCATCAACTCACTACTGCAAATAATGGACAGAAAGTTTGGAAACATTCTTGGTGGGACTGATATTTTTAAGGCAGCTCAGATCTTTGATCCAAGAAACTGGCCAGACAATCGCAATGATCTGACTGCTTTTGGGCGAGAAGATCTCCAGACACTGCTCAGACATTTTGAACAAGTGTTGGCCAATACAAACCCTCCAGTTAATGCAAATGATGTAAACCTCCAGTGGGAAGAACTTAAAACTCTTGTTCAGGGTAATGTGAACTTAAAGAGCCTCCACCCTAATTCCCTATGGGAAAGATTCTATTTAACAGATCAGGAAAGGGACGAGTTTGCTTCAATTTTGAAGGTGATCTTCTTGGTAGAGACTTACCCACTCTCAACTGCATGCTGTGAGAGGGGGTTTTCTACCATGAAAAGGATTAAGAACGACTGGCGTTGCAATTTGGCAACCCCAACTTTAGACACATTAATGAGAGTGAAAATAGCTGGGCCTCAAGCCCTGAGACAATATGACCCTCTACCTGCAGTTAACAGGTGGTGGTTGACTGGAGAGAGGGCAAGGAGGCCAACTATCTTGCCTCATGGGCCTCACGCAGACCAGTAGTGATCATTCACATGATGCTAGGGCGGGTGGATGGGGCTGAACTATTATCTGTAAGAATTTGCCTCTAGGTAAGTCCAAGTTGCCTCCAACTTTCAGACCAGGGAGCAAGTAGTTGCCTCCTAGCAAAAAAGTTAATTTCGAACACTGTCCTTGTTTTGAGATCTAGGCCTTAAACCTATTTACCCAAAATTGCTCTATAAATTGAGTTTACTTCATCATCACTGGGTGCCATCCACTCATAGCAGGTTGGCTGTCATGGATCACCACATCTCTCAAATACTTGAAGGTCAATCGGTGCATTTCTATGGGAGAAGCAGTCATTTGGTGCCAAAACTGAAAACTCTCTCGTATTTTGGAACTTAAAATGCTAGAAACCTCTTGTTTGTTGCATTTTGTAGAGCTTATCAAGCCCAACACTGGAATTGGTGTCAGTTTTCATGTACAGACACATTGACCTATTCTCTTCGAACTGATGAATATTCATAAAATACAGGTCGGATTTGAAAATCAGCATGATCTAACCATTTTTTTTTCTGCACAGACAGATGTGTCTGTACATATAGCCTTTGCTTATGCTGTCATCGTCATCATCGTGCACTTTCATTATTATATAACATTACTCTGAAGTGCCGAATAATAGTGCCTACTGGAATAATTGTGCCCCTCCTGAAAATTTTCAGAAATTAATAATAGTGCCTAGCCGAATAATTGTGCCCCCTGGAAAAATTCCCAATATTTAATAATAGTGCCTAGGGGAATAATTGTCTCTCCCCCCCCCCCCCCTCCCGGAAAATTTTATCAAATTTAATAATTTCAATGAATAATTGCAATGCCAATTACAATTTGGAAATTGGAAAAATTATGTTTTGACTATTAAACATAACAAAAACACAATATCTAGACAAATTTACCTTTGATTTTATACACATATTTTATCCATTAAGAGTAATCTCTGTCACCAGTTTCTCGACTGTTTTTAAGGTCAAACTATTTTCAGAGCGACTCCCGCTACTAGTTATACTACGTAGTTTGAGATGTAATTTATAATCAACAACTTCAAACACCGTGAAATGAATTCTTCAGAATTAAAGAGATAAAAATCACACTTATCATCAATTTGAGTTCTTCGTTTGTTCATTTATATGGTTCTATTCAGTCATGGAAATTCATATTCAATGCATAGGTTTCCACGCGAAATACTGACGTGATCCAGTTTTACAACGCTACTGCTTTCACAAAACTAACCCGTAAATCAATAGAAAATCTTCTCCAAGTTTATAATATCAACAAAGTGCACTTTATTTGCTACATTTTTATCAGTGAATATACGTAAACTATAAAAACACACAACAGACGGTCTGAATTTCGGAACATGACAAAGTGACAGAGAAAGTGTATTTGTGACACATGACTAATTGTTGTCGAGAACAGTTGCCTCATTTTGCTCTGTCTCGTATACTTCAAATAAGGCACAGAACTGCGAAAACGAGGCACTCACAGGGAGATAGTAACTGCTGGTTATTTTTAGGCATACGCGCATGTGTATTTCCGTTACTACTAAATCAAATGCTCAGAAGCATGGGATTATGTACAGTATGTAAACAGAATGCCATATTTGCTTAGAAATAAATATAATTTTCAGTTAGCATGAGTGAAAATATACTTAGTTGTTCCATTCAGCGCAGCGAGGCGGTGCTTTTGACAAATTTCAGCGAGGCACTTGCAAATTTAAATGCAGGGGAAACACTGACTTTTATTTCTGCTAAAAACAAGTTCGAGTGTAGTGTGACAGGCAGTGTTAGAAATTAAGGCTGGACCGTCTGCCCGGGGCAGACAACTTTTAGAACGGGCAGAGAATTTTTCCCACCCGGCAGGCATTCTAGCCAGCTAATTTTCAAGATGGCTGAGCTGTCGGTCCAGCAACTTATTTTCCTAAGTGGCAAACACTGGTGACAGGTCATTAATAAAAGTAAACTTGTCCAATGAAACGATCATTAACATTTCCGAAACGTTCAACAGTATTTCCGACCGGCACGGTGACTGCCAATTAATAGTGCCGTGTGGATAATGTGGGGAAAATTATTAATCATGCTGGGGAAAATAAGATCGTGCCGGGTGGAAAATTTCTGGGAAAAAAATAATCGTGCCGGCATTATTATTAGGCACTTCAGAGTAAACTAATATGAAAACTGTTTCACCTTTAATCTTTTAGCTCATAGAATTGATGAATATTCATAATAACTTTTATTCAAAGTGTTGTGCATAATTTTTAGAGCTTTTAAAGAAAACACACCTGGTTATATTGCACATCTTATTCAGTCATCTGAACCACGCAGGTTAACAAGAAACTCTTTTGAAAACAATTTTATACTCAATCACTGTGAAATAGACAGAAAATGCAACAAATTCTATGGAGACCGGGCTTTTACTGTTTATGCTCCAAAATTGTGGAACAAATTGCCTTTTAGTATCAGAGCTGAAAGTGACTATAATACTTTTAAAGCCTGTCTTAAAACTCATCTTTTTAAAGAATTTTATGGCTAGTGTTCCTTTAAACCTTTTAGTTGTTTATCATTTATTAAGAGTGAGTTTGGGTTAATTTTAGTAGTATTTTAAAGTTATATCAATAAATTTTCTCTGCTTTCTTTAATTAATTAATTTTATCAGTAAATGTTAAAGTATTTTAGTATTGTTATTTTTAGACTTTTTAATTATTTGTAAAGTGCATTGAAATGTAAAAAATGGAATGCGCTATATAAGAAATAAATATTATTATTATTATTATTATAACACAAGTGAAATGTGAAAATAAGCCTGATCAGACCATTGTTCCTTTTTTTTCCAGCACATTTTATCTACACTTGTTGGATAAAAAACATGAAATTATCTTGTGTCAGAACTGATGGATATTCATAAAATACAGGTCAAGTTTGAAAAATCAGCCTGTTCAGACCATTTTTCAAATAGCTTTGCTGTTTTTTTGCTTTTTTTCGGGATATTTAATCCATGGTTATACAAATAAAATGAATCCCATTTCACCTTTTGTATTCAAACTTACAGAACTGATGAATATACATAAAATACAGGTAAAGTTTGAAAATTAGTCTGATCAGACTATTTCTCCAAAAGTTGTGCTGTTTTTGCTTTTTTTTCAGCATATTTTATCCACCCTCATACAAATAAAATGAAAACGGTTTTACTTTTTGTCTTCAACTTACAAAACAGATGAATATACATAAAATACAGGTCAGTGCATTGTTTAAGATTGGTGGTGACTATGCTGTTAAGCATTATGTAATATTGCATCATAATTGAAGAAAACCCTATTTTGGGCACTGCCGCCATGGTAACGTGCTCAGTAGCATGGACTGCTCATGAATCACCCTCCTCATTTGAGACAGATACTATGATTGGCTAGCTTACTTTGTTTGTAAATGTGATTGGTTTTTTACATCTTGCCTGATAAGTAAATGGAGGGGAAAACGCTATGTGATTTATATAATTTTATTAGTGAAGTATGTCAAATGATGACTGTAAATTCAAAATGGCGGCCCTTTAAACTCTTGTCAGTCCTTTGGACTGACGAAGTTCAATTTTTTACCAGTCCAGACAAATTATGCCTGGTCATTACCGATAGGACCTACGGTTTCAGCATGACTGAACTTACAGGAAAAAAACATAGAACCTAAATACAGCTTTAGCTGGAAAACAAGTCTGATTGGTTGATTTTTTTTTTAAAGTTATACAGGTTTTTGAGAAAATTTCATATTTCACATTGGCATTTTTAAGGTGTGACTGAAACTCCATGGGCTTCAAGACCTTTGCTGGTCACATTTTCTGAATATCCTTGATACTTTTATTTTATTTTTAAAAATTGATGGTCAGCATGCTGTTAAGCATTATGTAATATTGCATAAAAAGTGGAGAAAAAAAACATTTTTGGACACTGCTTCCAGGATGACCATTAAGGCAAAACCAATTCACTTATGTTTCTCAGACTAACTGAAAAGATTCATAGGACTGAAGTGTAGCTTGTGTTGGAAAATCAGTGTGATGGCTTTCAGTTTTGAAAGCAATGCAGTTCTTTATAAAATTTTTATTTTTCACATAGTCCTTGGTGTTATTTGGATACAACAGGTGGTCAGTCTCCCATAGGTTTAGCTCTCTGCCAGATACAGTTTGTAAAAGTCTAAATTAACAGTGTCACATGATTAGGAATCAGTGATAATTATGCAGGTAAATGTTGCTTAATATTGCAAATAATTATACAAAAGAAAAAAATTATTTTGTGTAATGCTAACATTAATGCTATAGATGAATAAAATTATAAGTTGTTAAAATAGTTATTCAAAACTCAGCTGCAAGACTGGTTTGTCAAATAAAGTGCAATAGTACACACCATATCACTCCCATTCTGAAAGGATTACACTGGCTGCCAGTGAAGCAGAGGATTGATTATAAAGTACTTTGTATTATTTTTAAGGCGATCCATACACAATGCCCAAAATATATATATTTATCTGATCTTATCTGTTTTAACTCACCACGGCAGTCTACACATTTTAATACTAAGAATGATTTTATTTTAGAACATTCTGTATTAGAGAAAGGGTCTCTCAAAAGTTATGGTGATTGGGCTTTTACAATCTATGCCCCCAAAGTGTGGAGTGCCTTACCAAATTTCATTAGAACAGCAGAAGACTTGAACAGTTTTAAATCCCTTCTAAAGACCAACATTTTTAAATCTGTCTATTGCTCTTAGATTTTTTATATATTTTAATAAGATTGAGTTTTTAGTAGTGTTGATTTTAAATGGTTTCCAATGAGCGAGTTAGACTTAAATATTGTAGTCATTTTAATGATTTTAGTTACATTATCCATTATTGTAATGGATTGAGGTAGCATGTAAGGTGCCATATAAGAAGCTTATTATTATTATTATTACTATTATTATTATTATTGTTATGTATAACAGTGCCTTATTATCCTCAAACTCAGTGGGGTGATATTGTGTTAATACAACTAGATTAAAAGTTTGAACACCAGCTTTATTGGAATATTTTTTGTTATGTTTCCTTTTATAATTTTTTTTTTATTTCAAACACTGGCATCTTCAAGATGTGACTTTTAACTCCTATCCA